GTTGTTTTATGACGAGATTATTTAGTATTTATTGGTGCTGTTAAAGTTGATATGTTTAAGGCTTAAAAATCGTGTTTTTTTACTCAATTGTACAATTGTTGGTGGGCATAGAAACGTACGGTGCTCGCCTGGCTGCGTGTGAAGACTGAGCTGAGTGGCATTCTTTTCTATCCTGCCAAGCCATGGCGTTTTGTCCAGCTCCTCTTTCGTCAGCGTCTCGCCAGCAACAAGTCCGTCTATCCGGTCGGAATGTGGAATTGCCGAGTCGACAATCCTGATGGCCGGTTCTACAATCCGATAACGAACTCTATAGGCCAGTAGGGCGGAATAGTTCTCTTCGAGGATTTTTTGACGAGCTTTTTGCTGCAAATCCTGTTCATTGTTTGACGAATTGACCGTTGAAGAGGCCGCGGAAGCATCAACAGTTGATGATGATGATGATGAGGCTGAAGGGAAAGAAGAGGAAATGGATTCTGCCGCTGTTCCTGAGGCCGGAGGCGGCGGAAAGATGGCCGATTCCGGGGAAGAGGAGGCTGGAAAGAGCATCGATGCATAATCCTTCGGCGGCATCCAAGTTGCGATGATGCAGGGACGAGAGATATCACAGGCCACTCTCAGACGAAGATCTCGCGGCTTGCCTGGCACTGAAGGTGTAGGATTGGCGTGTAAAATAAGGCACAGATTGACAAGAAGGATGAGATAACAGTCTATGAAAATGTGTACTTTGCGGTGGGTTGACTTCATTCTCATCGCAATAATGAGGCAATAATTAATAGGATGATCAACTATTGACTATTTTGATGCAATCAACGTGTTGAGATCATTTTGTGAAATTCGTCTAGATCCATGTGTGTACTGTTGGGTTGAGTTGAGGCTGATTTGTGACGGGAATCTGTACCGAATTGTGATAATGCATTGAGCAGCAACTGGGAAAAATGCTTCCGCTGGCACACACACACACACGTGACTCGTGTCGACAAAGGTTGCATCAAAAGACGGTCATTTTTGCGTCGAACGCGCATGTACGTGGACACGATGCAGAGTGTGTTTGGTGCATAGCAAGAGAGAATGGTCGAGTGTGGGACAGAATACCCTGGAGGACCTTCAACGTGATAGGTCCAAATGGAGTGCGAGACACCGGGACAGTCGGGAGGCAACTATTGGATGGTTGGATGAATGGCTGAAAGTGTTGGTTTATTTATTAACAATCAATGACAAGTGGTTGCCCCGGTGACCTTCTGTATGGCAGCTGGCATGCATGTGCACAATCGTGTAGGCGATATTGATCGTGTGCAGACGTACAAACGGACATGCGACAAGAAAAAGTGGAAGATTGCTTTGATTGTTGGTGAGGAAGAGAACAGCTCCAACAACCTCCGGACACACCCACACACACACACACACACACACACACACACACACACGCAAGAAGATGGTTTTGTGTGAGACTGACGAGAGGATAAGCATGAATTGCCCGCATACTTCACACTTTTTGGCTTGGGTCGAGGATAGTGTCAGTCTGAAGTGAAATGTTTATGTGAAGATGCTGAGTGACATGATATAATGTACCAAATGGAGGCAGAAAATGTCAATCAGGCGATTAGATGAAAAAGGCAACTTTGGAGTGTAGATTAAATCAAAATGCGTGGATGGCTTCTTGAAAAGACTTTTTCTTTATTTTAATAAATTGGCCAACTTTCAGCTTTGCGCTGGAGCGTGTCGACAAGAGGAGAATCAATGAAATGATAATATTTGCCCATTTATGCTGATGAATAAATGAATGTTTTTACCATTTTTGTCATGATTACGAATGAGTTGACGCTTTGAAAATATGCATCCATGTAATGTATCAATATTGAAATTTAAATAAACTGCAAAAAATGATAATTTAATCATGTTAAAATAGCAGAATGCTCATTAGAATTGGGGTAATGAGTGAGAAGATTTTTTGCTCAATCTTGTCACATTTTTAGTCTTAAAATGAAGTTTAAAGTAGACGTTAAACTACGTTTAAATGCTCTTTTTCCTACGTTTCAGGTCGTCTCAGTAATGCAAGATAGAAATAAAATTATTGTCCTGAATAAAGTACCACAAAAAATGTCTCTTATACATTTCCAGACTTGCGAATATGGGAGAAATAACATCAAAGAAACAAGAATTATGTTTTGTAATTTATAAAAAATTGGGCCAGATTGCCGCTCATAAATTGCCAAGTAGTAAGACTTGTATTAATGAAACAAAAACCAATGACTACAACTACGT